TGCGTGCGTGCGTACGTCTGTGCGTGCGTACGTCTGTGCGTGCGTACGTCTGTGCGTGCGTTCGTCTGTGCGTGCGTACGTATGTGCGTGCGTACGTCTGTGCGTGCGTACGTCTGTGCGTGCGTTCGTCTGTGCGTGCGTACGTATGTGCGTGCGTACGTCTGTGCGTGCGTACGTCTGTGCGTGCGTTCGTCTGTGCGTGCGTACGTATGTGCGTGCGTACGTCTGTGCGTGCGTACGTCTGTGCGTCTGCGTGCGTGCGTACGTCTGTGCGTGCGTGCGTGCGTGGGTTCGTACGTTTGTGCGTGCGTGCGTGCGTACGTCTGTGCGTGCGTGCGTGCGTCTGCGTGCGTGCGGACGTCTGTGCGTGGGTGCGTGCGTACGTACGTCTGTACGTCCGTGCGTGCGTGCGTGCGTGCGGACGTCTGTGCGTGGGTGCGTGCGTACGTACGTATGTACGTGCGTGCGTGTATACGCCTGTGCGTGCGTGCATACGTCTGTGCGTGCGTGCGTACGTCTGTGCGTACGTGCGTGACATGCGTACGTCTGTGCGTGCGTGCGTACGTTTGTGCGTGTGTACGTGCGTGCGTGGTTACGTCTGTGCGTGCGTACGTCTCTGCGTGCGTACGTCTCTGCGTGCGTACGTCTCTGCGTGCGTACGTCTCTGCGTACGTCTGTGCGTGCGTGCGTGCGTGCGTGCGTGCGTGCGTACGTCTGTGCGTGCGTGCGTGCGTGCGTGCGGACGTCTGTGCGTGGGTGCGTGCGTACGTACGTTTGTACGTGCGTGCGTGCGTGCGTGTATACGCCTGTGCGTGCGTGCATACGTCTGTGCGTGCGTGCGTACGTCTGTGCGTGCGTGCATACGTCTGTGCGTGCGGGCGTACGTACGTACGTCTGTGCGTGCGTGCGTCTGTGCGTGCGTGACATGCGTACGTCTGTGCATGCGTGCGTGGGTGCGTACGTTTGCGTGCGTGCGTCTGTGCGTGCGCGCGTGCGTACGGCTGTGCGTGCGTGCATGTGCGCGTGCGTACGTCTGTGCGTGTGTGCGTGCGTGCGTGCGTACGTCTGTGCGTGCGTACGTCTGTGCGTGCGTACGTCTGTGTGTGCGTACGTCTGTGCGTGCGCGCGTACGTCGGCGCGTGCGTTCGGGCGAGCGTGTGAGTGTGTGTTGTGCTCGTTTCTACGTCTACTACTCTACTCTCGTACCATATATATATATATATATATATATGATGTGTGTGTGTGTGTGTATGTGTGCGTGCGTGCGTGTGTGTGAGTAACATCCAAGAAAACACATTTGCAGAGCTGTATTGTGTATGGGAAGTCATATGTAATAGACTTGTTTATGCAGAGTCAAATACATAGCTGGCTGTGGCAGATACGAAGCAGCCACTCACACGTTGTGTGGCACACATCCTCACTCGAACATCCTGACACGTTCTCTTTTCCTACACATCCGGTTGGGGAAATCCATTTCTCGTGCGCGCGAGTATGCTGCTAAACTGCAGTCATTGTGCGTAGTAATATTACTAGTTCATCATGTTCAATGCCACGTGATGCTAGGTATTATTTACTACATAGCAGTTTACAAAATCTAAAATTTCTCATGCCTTTAGCTGTATGAATAAATATGAATCAATGCCGACTACGTGAACTTTCTGGTGGACAGATTCCGCAATAGAGCAAGCTATGACACACAGAACCGCGTGCTTCGTAATTGTAGGGAGTGCCTCTATACTCGCATGAGCGTGCGATTTTCTTCAAGAAACACTTGCGGAAGACGCGTCATACATCGCGAATACAGTGGCCTTCACATCCTGCGATATAGATGACTGCTAGAATCCAGATATATATATACCCATGGTGGTGTAGTATGAGTGGATGCATCAGTGTATAATAGAGTGGCGCTTTTGTTGCTATAGATATTAACTGACCGTTAGATGTTCATGATATTTGTGAATTGTGGAAGCAAAACTGTCAAAGGTGTGTACGTTACACACAATTATATAACAGGATGAAATTGCCCGGAGGAATCTTCACCACTACCGGACGGCAGGACCTGCGTTTAAATGCACTTATTATATTAGCAAGTACATTACTGGTAAGCTATGCGGCAAACACGCACACTTAGTTAGCATAGTTACATACAGTAATAGTAATTTAATGTTCGAGAAACGACCCACCCAACCATCGTGATAATATTTTCCTTTCGGTGTATGTTCTTGAAGGTTGAGAGAACACCCCAAATGTGTACGTAAGAGTAGGTCAAAACACTCGTGCCGTTTCTAAACTGACCTTGTTGTATTGTATATCGCTGCACAGGGCACAAAAATAAGCAAAATTAGTGCTTTTATAATTTCACCAGTTTAGAAATGATGACACACATGATATATTTAATCTATCGAGTATCTATAGTATTTAAATATTAATGAATCGAATTTCTTCGTGAATAAACAGGAAAGAAATAACAGGAAAATAATCTATTGAATATTACGCATACCTTGTCGATATTTAGTGATTAATAAGGTGGTTTAAAATAGTATATATACATATTTATATATATATATGTGTGTGTGT